GAGCCCATTCTGAGTTGTGCCATTAGGACAAAAAAATATATTTCACAGAATGTACTTGTGTTTTGCTTTTTTTAAAACAAATAAGATCTCATTAGATAAGATGCCATTGAAAAATGCAGGACTATTGCAAGACATACCAGTTAAGGCATTTTATTTTTTTATCCCTCAGAAAGTGGCAGCAAACAGGTTGATTATTTTTGAATTTCTGACAATAATGCAATCCATGCATCATGAAGCCATGCTTATCATGAAATAGTGCACTTGTTATATAATCAAATGCCAAGTGATGTCCTTGGTTTCATCTTAGAAAAATATAATTTCAGATAAGTCAGCACCATACTGGGCTGCTAGCTCCAACTGCCTTTCTTTTCAACCGAATGACCTACTTTTCTCTGGTATTTAACGGTCAGTGCTTCTTTAGAGGGTAACTTACACTGTACAAATCCACGAGAGAGAGAGAGTTGGAGCACACCTTCCCCTCAGGGACTATGCCAGGCTTTCTTACATCAATTCCCCCAACGTAATTTGCATACCGCCCTCCCAATCTTTGCCATTTCAACATAGCAACACAAGACACTTTCATGATTTTTAAATCATATGTGGGTACCACCTGCGCTATTATTTACTTAATGTATTTTAATTAAATTAACTCACCTTTTAAATGTTAATATATTTCTTTGGAAAAGGAAACCATGTCACTGCTGCCATAGCCAAAGGGGCACCACCAGCCATGAGTGGAGGCTACACAACCCCGCCTGCTATTTTCCTTTATCTCACTTGTTCCTTTGCTACTGCCTGTTCTTTACTGATGGATGCTCCAGGAGGCCACGGCTTGACCTGTGGTGCTCATGGCCATAGGCCCAGCACTAGTCAGAACAAGTAGAGAGAGCATTGCCTGCACACTTGTTGAGAGAATGCAGGTGTCTATTCTTCTTATCATTCCTCACATCTAAATTTTGTGTTTCTATTTTAACCATACCAAGGACCAGCACAGAAAACTTCTTTGATCAAATGAGATCTGAGCAATGCTATTAAATTCTAACTGCAGGTGTTAAAGATTTACTAGAACCAAATCAAAACATTCTCCTTGACTGGGTCAGAACTTGAGAAATGGGAAAAAAGTAGTTTCCTTATCCAGTGATTGTTACTCAGTGCCATGTTGCTAACACCTAACATGGTCTCTGTTTTCAACAGAGGTGAGAGTGCAACCCTTTGAGAGACGCTGCCTTGTGGCAAGAAAAGTCATTTGCTCTTTTTCAAAGGAGCTGGACAAATCTATCTGAGTTAATGAATCCATAAGCATTTCCCTTCTCCATTGCCATGCCTTCCTGACATTGCTCACCTAAAACACGGTTTCATTTGCATCAGCCTCCAGCCCCAATGGTTTCCCACAAGAGGCAGAAACAGTGAAGCAAATGTAGGCAATCCATTGTTTAAAACAAATATAAATCTTAAACACTTTTGATCATTTATTCTCCTGGCTTTCTATATTACAAACCCAGGGTATATAGTCTGCTTGAAAATAGCCCACATGTTGTAAGGAGATTGATAAAAATGAAAGATGAGTTAGGACTACACACACGCCATTTTCCCCTCAAACAAAAAGTATAATTAATTCATGAACACAGCAATCTTATGTGCAGCTGATCCACCATAAGTGTGCCAGACAGGGCTCTGGCTCCAAGTGGAGAGATGACATTGATAAAGGAGGTGAAGGAACGTTTGGAACCTCTGTTACTGGGTTTGTAAGATATAGACCAGCATTTCCAATGAATGTTGATAGGTGTTAGTTTAAAAAAGATTGGGAAACATATTGATAAATCAAAGTATTTACTGTTAGAAATCTTCAAAGCCTTTGAAATGAGGACATACACCATGAAAAACTCAGGACAACAGGGAGATGTAATATCTTATGTTTCCCAATCTTACTTGACTAAAGTGCCACTCTCCCTGCCATTGTTTTCCCTAGCATGTTCTATACATGAAAGTTCTAAAAGCCCACCCTCAGACAAGCTGGGTTATGTAATGCACTCCTGGATTTATGACTGTACTTGAAAAAAAAAAGACAAAAGCCAAATTTCTTGCAGATACATGATAGAATAGGTGTTTGTGTTCCAGTTTTTGGGTGAAACACTTGGTAGTAGCATCAGTAGAATTTATGAGTAATAAATAAAACTGGCTTGAATGGAATTTTAGTTTTAGAATGACTAAATAAATATGAGTATCAGCTGGCTGTAAGAAGGGCCAAGGACAAGGGTTAGAAGAAGAATAGGGCAGAAAAAAGCTAACCTTACCAGATGATGAAAGAATTTTTAGAACAGATGAAAGCTAACCCTCCAAAGGATACTTTTTGAGATAATCAAAATCAAATAGAGATGATAGTTGGAGATCACTAATGGGAGAAGCTGTAACTAGGAGAGGGAATGAAAGGAGTAGAAATATAAGCTTCAAAGAAAAGAAATGATGGAGAGGATTCTCCAAACAAGGGAGGGAGGAAGGAAATGCATCTGCACAAACAGGCTCATCTATCCTCCAGATAGAACTGGTGGCAGAGGCAGACTACCAGAATGGGGCTATGACAAAGGAAAGATAAAGAAGACACATAGGAAAAGAACTGCGGGCTTAGATGGAATGTGAGTAGAGTTTATAAGGAGAGTTTATATAGAAAGGATAAAGGAAAAGACAGGAAGAAGCAAGAGTATGGCAAATTTCACACTCTGGGTCTATGAAATGGCAAACACAGGGCAATCATACTCCTTCCACTGGCATGGCAGACATTATAAGTTGATCATTGCACTATTGTCCTCTGAATACAGATTTGGCTTCAGAACAATTCTCAACACAACACACTAGGTAGCCACTGTGGACTGATTTGACTTGCATTCCTACTATATTAAGAAACCAACCAGCCAACTAACCAGCCAGCCAAACAATCAACCGACCAACCTACCCTCAGTAGGGTTTTGGTAATACCACTCATTGATTGAAGAGGAATAAAAATATTATACACCAGCTAGAAAAGCAAAATGCTTCAGTGTGAGATGTTTCTTTATACAGACATAGTGATGTACATGTACGGATATGAGTGAATATACATTTGAAATATGAGTACCTCAAGTAGGCACACCCAAGTATTCCATATTAATTTGTCATTTGAAACTCAGTTTTAAACATTCACAAGCACATGAAATTCAGCTCATCATTTACCTTGGCAACTGACATCTTTAAACCCAGTATGATATGAATTACATTTTTTAGTTAAAATACCACATATAAAGCAACAGCCTGTTAGAATAATCAGAGCCCTTTCCTTCCTTATTTCACTTGTGACACTATATTGGGCCCAACATCTTAAAAGTTTGGCAGAAATAACAAGTATATGGCACTTTTTTCCCCCCCCAGAGAGGAAGGGAGAGGGAGAGAGAGATAGAAACATCAATGATGAGAAAGAATCATTGACTGGCTGCCTCCTGCACGCCCCACATTGGGGATCGAGCCTGTAACCCAGGCATGTGCCGAGACCAGGAATCAAACCATGATCTCCTGGCTATATTGCACTTTTTAAAAGCACATGTGAATAACGCAGCATGATATAATAGCATTGCTAATGACCAGGCCATGGCGACAGTGGGAGAAATGTTGAGATTTCATCAATAATAGGTTTTTAAAAACTACATTCATTTACAGTTTGAAACTAATTTTCAAAAAAAGAGGAAGGGTGGCGAGTGATAAGTTGCATGGGTTTCCATTTCCTTCTGCAAATGCTCATTAATTTCACGCAGCTTCTGAGCATCTGAGGCCTTTGCCTATTCATGCAAAGAACCACTTGAAGGCATACAATGTCCTCATATTTTCTCTAGTCTGGGAAACATTCAGTGCTTTCTTCAAACTATTTTGTCTGAACATTCTCGCAAGTTATTCATGTCCTGCTAAAGAGCACATAATACTGCAAGGGAGGACAGGCTATAAGCTGCTGTTTGAAGCTTCCCCTTTTATGATTTCATTATAAATTAATAACAATAAGAAAGAATTCTCATTAGTTGAAGTTGGCTTAATTGAGATAGAAAAGAAAGAGAGAGGGGCACCTGTTAGGCAGAGAAGAGAGCAGTGATCTCTCAAGAACCCTTAAGATAAAAGAGCTGTTGACCCAAATGAATTCATCATCACTCACGTGTCCCCAGGCTTTTTTTCCTCATGGCCTGACAAGGTCCTTCATCGTGAGTCCCCTTCCTGCCTCAGTGTCAGCTTAGGCATACCTGATTCTCGGACCACTGGCCTTTCAACTCCTCCTTGCCACAGGGCCTTTGCACAAGCTGAATCCTCCTGGAATCCACTTTCCATTCCCACTGCCCTTGCTCAACTTTTATAATATTAGGCCAAATGGCTTGTGACTCCTAAGGAAAACCTACTCTGACTGTCTCCACAAACTGGTTTAGGCCCTCCTGCTATCTTCTCTCAAAGCACTCTTTTCTCCTCAGCATTTATAACTATTTGTAGTTATTAATTTCTGTGATTATTTTTCTGTTGCCCATCCTCAAGTGAAGAACTGTAAGGCTGTAACAGTGACTATTTGAGAGCGTGACAAATAAGCACAGACCACAGGAATGATGTGTTAGGTTTAACGTCACAGATTTCTTTGCTGATATATTTATAACTGTGGCACATAATGATTTTGGGGGAAAAAACTGTTTCTATAATAAACCAAATATTATTAGAAAATATAATAAGACCAAGTTATGTCCAACTTTCCTGCACACAACACTGAAGGATGGAAGTTGGGACTCTCTGCCTCCAGAGAAGTTGTTTCTCTAATTTCCTTCCGTTCTCTGCTTTAGAGGAACTTGAACACGTGTTATGGCTGCTAAATAAAGTGTAATCAAGTCATCTTGTTTAAAAAATCACCCAAGTATATGCTTTCTAGAATTTTCCATGGAAACTGGACCTTGCAACCCCTTGATAACAGCCTTGTGGACAATAAATGGCGGAGAAACAACACTTACGTGGGCTTAGACGCCTCGGCCTGGTCGGTCTGCAGTTTCTCTCCCCCTTCCACCTCCATGGTGCAGTACACGATGCGATTGGGAGCCAAGGATTTGAGGCCTTGCACTTCCATGATCACAACCTGAAACAATCACACAAAGTGAGAGTTACTGCCAAAGACCACGGGCAGACTCATCAAGAGGAAACACATGCATGAGGAGAAGTTACAGAAAAGCCAGCACATGCCTGATGGCTTCTACTAGGTTTCTGCCAGCCCACTGGGACCAGTCTAGCATGAAGATGTACTTCTGACTGTGGAGCTTATTGCCTCCCACGTGGAAAGGCAAGTCCCACTAATTCATATGCTCATGGGGGCCAGACAGGTCATGTGAAATGGCTACTCTTTTCTATGTGAGTCACAGGGTCCGTTTCCATTTCCACAGAGAAATCTGCTATCTTCTATTTCTTTAAAATTATTCTAGTTTTTAATTCAGCACTTGGCAAAGGCAAAGGCCCATGAGTTTACATCAGCCTTCATAGTAAGGTAAGTGATGATGGAAGGGCTAAGGTTAAGGGCCAGTAGCATTCAGCATTGTGGGACTGTGGCAACTGGAGAGCATGCTCCATCTAAGTGGAGCAGTCGATAGTCCTCACAGCCCACGTGGCTTTGCCTTTTCTCTGGCCCACTGTTGCCAGACACTCTCATTTTTCCTACCAGAAAATGGAAATCTGAATCGGAATCTATCAGAAAGCGGGAGGGAATGAGGAGAGGGCAGAAACAAGGGTGTAAGAATCTGAAACAAATGGTATGCATTTGAGATCTATAATGAGCAATATATATTGAAAAAAAATCAATTATACTCTTGAAGAAGTAATACATTACACAAGGAGGGGATGTGGGTGTGGAAACAGGTACACTTCTGAATGGGCTTGATTCCAGGAAGTGCAATAAGGCTGACATTGAACCAGGATTCACAAGTCAGCTTTGCTGCTCATCAGCCCAGTGGCTCTTAAACTTAGTGTGAACACAAATCACTTGGAGGGCTTGTGACACCAGAGACTACTGAGCTACACCAGCAGTTTCTGATAAGTAGGTCGAGGTTGGGGCCCAAGTCTTTTAAAAATATATAGATTTTTAAAAATTGATTTCAGAGAGGAAAGGAGAGGGAGAGATAGAAATATCAATGATGAGAGAGAATCATTGGTCATCTGCCTGCTGCACGCCCTACATTGATGATTGAGCCCACCACCTGGGCATATGCCCTGACCAGGAATCGAACCTGGTTCATTGGTTGATGCTCAACCATTGAGCCATGCTGGTTGGCAAGACCTTATTTTTCACTATTTCCCTGGTGATACCAACGTGTTGCTGCTGATTCAGGAGGCATCCTCTATGAACCAATGCACTTCTCATGTGATGTTGGGCAAGTGACTTGTTCTGGAAGTCACTCCACTTTTCAAACTCCTGAGCCTCAGTTTCCTCATCTGTATAGTGGACAGATGTGTCCTCTCTCACTGTGGCTTTTGTGTGAGGACCACATGATGTATGTATAATAGTTGAAAAATTTTACATGAGGAAGAATCATAGAAATGAGAAGAAATGGGAGGCACAGAAGAAAGAACACACTCTTTGGAACTTAAAAGGTCTGAGTTCAAACCCCGAATCTGCATCTTTACTAGCTATGCAATCATTTATAGGCTCCTTAACCTCTCTGAGGCTTTGTTTCATCATCTGCAAATTGTTGTGAGGATCCCTGAGTGGAGAGTGGCAGAGCCTGGTCCACAGTGGCATGCTTTAGGTACCTAAGGTTTTCATCAGAGCTCCCCACTGCCCACGGCCATGCCACTCGGCCTCCCAGACCTTGGTTCTCAGTTAACTGCTCTCTGGTGTCTCTTCCAGCAGGTAATTCTATAATTACATGAAACCTGTCTTGTTCCAACCTGAACACTCAAACCAGCCTTCCCTAATGAGATGACAGCAGTTCTCCCTCTTCCTGCCTCCAGTCTTTGTGGCCCCCAAGCATGCTCACAAATAGATATACAACGATTTTTGCTAGCCATTCTGGTGTGATGTGCGATTTTGTGTTCTCATTTAAAAGCATTGGGGAGCCCTGGGGTGCTTTATTCTGTGCTTGTACTTACAGGTGAAAGTCTGTCTGAACCATGCACACACGTGAGGATGGCTGGGGACTCGCCGACATTGGCATTTCAGCTAATCAGCTGTATAATATTGTCTATCGGTAAAGAATCAGAAAATTACAGATTTAAAAGCTTCATGCAAATCAATAAAGCACGTTTTCTCCTCTCTGGAGAACGATGAGAAGCAGCCGGGAATAAATTGCCACCTCTAATTGGCAATAATCAAATTCAAAGACACCTAAGAAAAAGCATTCAGTGCCTTGGGTAGTGGTATTAAAAAAGAAAGAAAGGAAGTTTCTGTGAAATTACACTGATGACTTTTCACACAACAAATGGTCTACATTTAACCGAATACTGCCTCTTTTGACAGCAAAATGCACGTCGGAAATACTGTAATGTGGCTATCTCAACCCAAACTGAGCACAAGCAAATTACCCACAGTTAATTCGCAGCAAGCCTTAATGATGTTCTAAAAAATTAATTCAGTTTTTACACAATCTAATTACATCTACAGAAATTTGATCTATTCTCTTGGTCTCCCTAAATCTAGGGCCATCATAAAATCCTGGGAGGTAGAGCTGTAATAAGATATGAATGCATCTCAAACTTGGGAGTGCATAGAAGTATGTGAGTATGAAATGCTGAAAGATGTTCTTTAAGAAGAAGAAGAAGAAGAAGAAGAAGAAGAAGAAGAAGAAGAAGAAGAAGGTGGTAAAGATAAAAATTATGAAAAACAAAGTGACAACAAATACATATCTATCAAGTGAATTTAAAAATCAAATCAATAAAAAAAATCTGATGAACAGAACTGGTGAATGTAATAGAATCAGGGGCATAAAAAGGGAGTGGACTGACAATTCTTGGGAGGAAAGAGGTGTGAGGGGTGCAAGAAGAGATTGGAAAAAAAATCTTATACCTATGGATGAGAACAGTGGCAGGTGGTAAGGGCATGGGGTTGGGGGTGGTGGTGGTGGAATCAGGTGGAGAGGAGCTATGGGCAGGGGGGCAAGGGCGGAAAGAGGAACATCTGTAATAATTTGAACAATAAAGATTTGTTTTTAAAAAAAGAAGTATGTGGGTAGCTCATTAACATACATATTCCTGGCTTGCATTCACCTAAAGATTCTTTTTTTTCTGATATCTTTATTGAGGCACTAGAGGCCCAGTGCACGAAATTCGTGCATGGGGGCAAGGGGGATGGTGTCCCTCAGCCCAGCCTGCACCATGACCAATCTGGAACCTCTCAAAGGATGTCTGACTGCCCATTTAGGTCCGATCCCAATGGGTAGTTGAACATCCCTCTCACAATCCATGACCGCTGGCTTCCAACTGCTCATCTGCCTGCCTTTCTGATTGCCTCTAACCGCTTCTGCCTGCCAGACTGATCACCCCCTAACCACTCCCATGCCAGACTGATTGATGTCTAACTGCTCCCCTGCCAGCCTATTTGCCCCCAACTTCCCTCCTCTGCTGGCCTGGTCACTCCTAACTGCCCTCCCCTGTAGGCTTGATTGCCTTCAACTGCCCTCCCCTGCAGGCCTGGTGCCTCCCAACTGCCCTCCCCCACTTGACTGATCACCCACAACTGCCCTCCCTTGTAGGCCTGGTCCCTCCCAACTGCCTTCCCCTGCTGCCCATCTTGTGGTGGCCATCTTGTGTCCACAAAGAGGCAGCATCTTTGACCACATGGGGGCAGCCATCTTGTATGTTGGAGTGATGGTCAATCTGCATATTGCTCTTTTCTTAGATAGCATAGAGGCCTGGTGCAAGGGTGGGAGCCAGCTGATTTGCCCTGAAGGATGTCCTGGATCAGGGTGGGGATTCCCTTGGGGCATGGGGCTGCCTGAGCGAGAGATCTGTGGTAGTTTGCAGGCCAGTGATGCCCCCCAGCAACCCAAGCGGAGGCCCTAGTATCTGGGATATATTTACTTTTTACAATTGAAACTTTGTACCCTGGAGTGGAGCCAAGCCTCCTGTTCACTCCAAGCCATTTCTGTTTGGATTTGTTTACCTTCTATAATTGAAACTTTTCAGCCTTGAGTGGAGGCTTAGGCCAGCAAGGGCAGGCAGAAAGCTTGGCTTACTCCATCGCTGGGGAAACACCTTCCTCCTGCTCTCTGTGGCTGTAGCCATCTTGGTTGGGTTTATTTGCATACTCACTCTGATTGGCTGGTGGGCATGGCTGGTGGGTGTGGTTTGTGAAGTGGAATGATGGTTAATTTGTATATTACTATTGTATTAGGCAAGATAGTTTATATATATAATTAACCCATTTTAAGAATATAAGCAATGATTTTAGCAAATTTATTAAGTTGTGCAGCCATCATCATAAATTAATTTTAGGTCCCTCATGTCTGTGTCCAACTCCTGCCTCAGGAAACACTAATTTCTTTTCTGTTTCTAGAGCCCTGCCTTTTCTGAACATTTCATATCAATGAACTCAAACATGTGGTTGCTTGTATCTGGATTATTTCACTAAGCATGAATGTTTTTGAGGTTCAATAAATCAAAGCATGCTCCGCCAGTGTGGCTCAATGATTGAGCATGGACCCATGAACTAGGAGGTCATGGTTTGATTCCTGGTCAGGGCACATGCCAGGGTTGTGGGATCCATGCCCAGTAGGGAACATGCAGGAGGCAGCTGGTCAATGATTCTCTATCATCATTCATGTTTCTAACTCTCCTTCTTCCTTCCTTTCTCTGAAATCAATAAAATCATATATTTGTTAAATTTCAAAGCATATATCAGTAGTTTATTCCCTTGAAGTGCTGAACAGTAGTTCTTTGCCTGGATGTACAAAAACTTTTCCATTCCCCAGTTGATACACATTTAGACTACGTATTCTGTTTGGCCGTTGTGAAGGATGCTGCTGTAAACAGTTGTGAGCATGTTTCTGTGGGACGTGTTTTCAGTTCTCTGGGGAAGATATCTAGGAGTGGAGTTGCTGGATGTACCGTGGTTTTATGTTTAACTTTTTGAGAAAATACCAAACTATTTCCACAGTGACTGAACCACTTTGAATTCCCACCCCCTAGAGATTTGGGTCAATAGGATCTGCAGTCTGAACCAGCTTCCACGCAATTCTGATGAAGCTGGATCAGAACAACTCCTTAGAGTGTATGTCCGAGCAGCAAACATCTGAGTAGAAGTTATGGAGAAGCATAATGACATTCTGAGCATTCTACCAGAATTCTGGCCCCGGTGGGTTTTCCCTTTGGGTTGTGAGGTCAACTAAAAAGGCTCACCACAATCACAGGCTCTCTGCAGGGAGCCAACAGGAGAGATGATGGGAAAGACAGTTTACAACTCACCACAAAATGCTGCTCTATGCTTCCTGTCATAACTTCAACCCAGGTTGCTCAGACTTCAAACTTTCTAAATGGCATAGCTCTTTATAAAATCCTTGATCACTGGCTTAAGACAGTAAAAGTAATGTGAGATGAAATTTAATAAGTGGTTCTTGAGACTGCATTTTCTTGAGAAAAGCACGGGTTCCTGGAGGCAGGGAATCGCTTGCTGATTAGCTGGGCCTGCTCAGCAAGCAGTGCTTTTAGGATCTGCTCCTGGGGTGCAAGAAAGGCACAAGCTGATTGTGAGGCCTCGGATCCCCGCATGCTGCCCGCTGGGCCAGGAGACTTCCAAGGGGCTCGAGCTTTTTACCTCCAAGGAGAAAGCCAGCACGACATCTGACTTGGAGAGCTGGTTCTCACTCTCCTCGCCCAGGTCGATGATGGAAGCATTGTGGCTGCGCTTGAGCTTCTGAAGCTTGAACTCGCCGCCCTTGGACACCGGCATGCTCTCCAAGTTGGCCATGAGCAGGTTGACGGACGACTTCAGCTCCTCGATGTACATGTTTTCCATTTCTTTGGATACAAACTTGGGGAATTTGCGTTCCTGGAAGAGAAAAAGAAAAAAAAATGTACTAACAAAAACAGACCCAGAGACAGAGAAGCAGCGATCAGACTGAGAGATCTCAGAGGGAAGGTAGGGCAGGGTGGGGATAAGAGGGAGAGATCAATCAAAGGACTTGTGTGCATGCATATAAGCCTAACCAGTGGTCATGGACAACGGGGGTTGGGGGCATACGTGGGGAGGGGATTGGGATGAGAATGGGGGGATGAGGACAATTATGTGATACCATAATCAATAAAGAAATTTAAAAAAAAGAAAAAAATGTACAGATACATAAATAGTGATTTACATAGATTTACATTTTAAAGCCCAGAGTTAGGGTAATAGCCACCACCCGGGAGCCTTGCACTTGTTAGAAAAATGGTCAGCCTAGTTGAGTAGACAGCTGCCTGCCTTCTACTTATAATCCCTAATAGTTACCAACGGACATAAATGTAGAGTAAGTAAGGGTCAAATGTTTTATTATAGTTCTATTCTCTCCCCCTACTCCAACCCCAGTTTTCTCTGATTAGTGGAAAGAAAAATGGGGTGATATTTTTCAAGTCTGGTTTCAGTTGAAACAGTGTTTCTTTTTAGAGAAATGCAATTGGTTTTTTTTAATTATGTTGACAGAAAGACACCTTATTTCTGGATATCTATAGAAATGTTCTCACATGAATAATTCAAAAAGATCTCATTTAAGATGTTTTGAACATAGCCTGTGGCTATTTCTAAAAGAATAGTTACTTTTTTCAAAAAATTTTGAAAAAATTAATGAAGCAATGAAAAGCATGAGTAATATAATTTAGAAAAGAATATAAAGCAATTCATTATCAAAACTGACCTTTTTTTTTTTCAATTCCTTGCTTATGGATTTAGTAATAATAGTAATATGCCTTAGTTGTGCTATTTGTGTGCTCATGCCTCTAAGTTGTCCAGGTGCCTTGAATATACTTTGGATTTATCACTTTCTTAAATAATCATTTCCTACTTGAAACATCAAATAGTCCTCCCTAGCCCACTCTATAACTGATCAGGTGAGGGGCAAGACAAATCAATTATAAATAAATATATATATATATATATATATATATATATATATATATATATATATTTGCCAGTGACAGAAAAATCCAATTTGAACTGGCTTGAACAATAAAAGCAATCTATTGGCTTGAAATGTCCTGGGGTAGACCCAGCTGTAATCAGCACTCTGGTGACATTACCACAACTGAATGAGTTTTTACTACAAATCTCTGTTTGGGTTCCTCTAGGTTGGCTCCATGCTCAGTCTTGCTTCTCTTAATGTCACAAAAAAGGTTGCTAAAGATCCAAACCTCATAAAATCCCATCACAAAAGAGTGAATATCTCCTCTTGTCATGCCCATTGAAGATGAGAGTCTTTAATCTGAGAATTCTCTCCCAAAAAGTCTGACTTACGTATATACTTGGGACCAATCTCTAAGGCCAGAAGCATGCTGTGCTAAATTGTTTAGGCATGAGTTACGTCCTCCATCCCTGAGACTGGGAGTAGAACTCTACCTAGATCACAGGAATATGAATTGGTTTGCCAATTCTGGGTGGCAAAAAGTAGTATGTTTATTGCATGGGCACCTGACTCAAAGTCAACCAATCAACACTATTAAAAGGCCAATGATCAACCAGATTTAGTCTCTCAAGCAATTGAACTGAAAGATATTGAGACTGCAGTGAGTGGTGGAGCTGAAACAGTAGATCATGTAGATTCATGAGTAGCTGCCATAAATAGCCCTGTTGGAAGCAGAGTAAGAACCCTGGCAAAGAAGAGAGAGAAAGATGTAGAGAGAGGAAGAGAAGGAGAGGAGGGGAGGGAAGATAAGAGTGAGGGATAAGCTGTCTAGAGTCATAGGAAAGGAGCTTTGACTTCCACTGGTGTTGTAATTCCCACAAAGTGAAGTTATTCCTTTTCCATTCTAGTTCCTTGAGAGTCTCTTATTTTGCTTTCAATAATTCCCCCTACCCACTAGTTAGCTAGAAGGGTATGTTGTCTTTGACACCATAAAGCTTCACTCAGATTCACACAGAGGCTTCTCTATAGAGACTAGGAGATGCATTTTTGCTATGCCAGTATTCTTCCTACAGAGACTGTCAGAGTGTTTCCCTTTCCTCTGCCTCTCTGGGTAACTCTCAGCCATCTTGAAGGAGGCCAAACAGCAAAGGTTACATCCTAACAGGGCTATTACACTGACCTATCTCTTTTCTGTTCATATTGGAGCCAAACCTCAGAACAACCTGGGATTCTTGGACAGCTGGGTAAGTGGTATCTCTGATTTTTACTGGCAGCTGCTGGCCTTAGAGTCGCCATGGAGATAGAGAAAAAGCCATCATGTCTATGAAGTGTGTGCTTTCCTGCGAATCAATCTTGAGAGATCTTACTATCAAGTACAGAATCCTTTTATCACAAGCATCTTCTGAGACTACTCAAGGCCGTTTAACTCGACAGTCTTGCAGTTTTGGAAGAAGACACAGTGGTCACTGATAATATCACTGTGGCCTGGAGTTTGCGTCCACCAAACTTTTATGCAGCAGAATATTGGACAAGTCCAAAGAATGATACTCCTCTCAGAAGTTGGACAGTCCCCAATGACATCGTAAAACAGGCACATAAAACTGAAGTGTGCAAGGGACAACAAGGCCAGTTTTCTGCCCCGAGTTCTTAAGCCTTGAGAAGAAATAGCATCATGTCGACCTAAGCTGAGGTTCTTGAGGGGAGTTTTCAGCAGCAGACCCCTCACAAACACATTTCAAACCTGACGTTGTGCCAAAATAAGGAAAACAAAGCCATCCATCTTGGTTGTACTTTCCCAAGCATGAGAATAAATTAGCCCCGACGAAAGGATTGCTTATTCATACTGCGTTATGAAAGACAGGGCATACGGTGAACAAAGTCTTCCAGAGAAAATGTTCGCTGGACATTTATTTTTGTTTTGGGCTGACAACATTCCTCAGTGGAAGGGCCTCCCAAGGACAGTCCCCACAGGCCAGTGTGCTCAGCAACATGGAGGGATTTGGGGAACATCTTGAAAAATGGCATTTGAAAGTGCTAACAGCTGTCAGTCATTCGCTTTGCTTTGCTGCCCTTGTATTTTTACCCACAGAGGATGACGTGGGGACATGTAAAAACTAACAAGCATACTCCAGTCGTAGGGGATCCTTAGACCCCAAGGGCTCAAATGACATGTTCTGGCAGACAATCAGAAGAAAAGAAGTGGCAGAAGAACACTTCCTAGATGTGGGAGCTCACCAACAGTGGTGCAGTCACTCAATTCCATCTCTAATGTGCTCCTATCGTGTGTCGGGTAGTGTGGTTGCTGCTGGGGACAAAGGAGTCAGGAGAGGCAAAGGGATGGAGGGCCATGGCAGAAAGCAACCAATCAGACACTGAGTGACATATGAGGTGACAGAGACATGTACAAAAGCCACCAGGGAACCATATCCCGTCCACACCAGCAAGAATGACTTCAGCTCCTTTGAGTCCTGGGTCTGCTACTTACTAGCTGTGTGACTTTAGATAGTTTTCTTAGCCTGACTGAAACTTAGTTTCCACCTTAAAAATGGGGATATAACAAATCTCATACAGTTATTGTGAAGAGTAAGAAATAATAACTTTAATTCCTTTGGCCACTGACTGTGTGCATGTGTATGAGCCTATATATATATATATATATATATATATATATATATATATATATATATATACACACACACACACACATACATACACACACATTTAATCATACTCATATAGATATTCACATACACATATGCACACATACTACACACATATGAACATATACATATGCATGCACACACATATATGGGCATGTATATATACATATTAGCATATACACATATGCAAATATACATCAGGCACCATGCTACCAACAACAACATCAACAATACTACTAATAATGATGGTGACATTACTAAAGGTCATGATACTACAATACTTGGCATTTATCGAGTGGTAACTATACTAGGCACTAGTCTAAGCAGTTACGTTTCCTTATTTAATTTGACAAACAATCCACTGAGGCTAGTGCTCTTATTTATTCCTACCTCCTGGAGGAAAACAAGGCTTAGACGTTAAATCAGTCATTAGTAGAATTGCATTTGAAACCCATCATACAGTAGGGCAGAGCTGAGGTAAGCATGCTGTGGGCTTGCAGCATGCACCGCCTCATGTCCCAGCATTCAGCACAGAGCTGTGACACTTTGTTCTCCACAGCAGTGGTCGCCTCACAGTTACCAGTGAATGTGGGTGGTGGGCAGGGGTGAAGTACGAGGGGGTGGGTGTTAAACAAGAAAATGAAGGTCTTGGCAGTAAAGGTATCATAGTTGCCTGAGTCGGTTTCTTTACTCAGACCTTTCTTTGAGTGGCTTGGTCTTACTCCCTCAGCTTTTATGAATTGGATGGACTTCCCGTCATTGGAATAAACTGCAGAAGACCTCTTGGCATTAAGACTTTTCCTTGAACTCCGATTTCCCTGGGTCCTTAGCTCCCTGACAAAGGCCAGATGCTTCCTACAGTTCTTTCAGGAAAAACAATGAGCTCAGCATCCTTTGTGCTCACGAATACTGTACCACTTCATGCGCAGAGAGGATGCCAGGTACAGCAAAATTAATGTATTAATATTAGCTGGAGGCAGTATCATTCTCTGGTAGGGGAGGAGTCCATTGTCTGATTTTTGGCAATGTATAAAGCAGAACTTTTCCATCAGGGAAGTGTTTGGATATTATTTCTTTCCTGGGGGCATGTTCTCATCAATGTTTGCAACAGGACCATGTAATGAGATGGGAATTTTGCTCTGCAGAGAATAGGGGTCTAAATGGCAACTTCACATTTAGATCATAGCTTGTAAAAACAATGCTATTTTGCATCCAGACCTCTGCTACTAATACTACAAAAGCTATATTGTTTGTCTTATGTAATTAGCCCATGAATTTTGGAATTTTACTCTAAA